CACTCGGATACGGGACGGGGGTGTGGCTCACGTGCTAGGATCAATGCCCACTCTGTGTTTACTGCTTTTCTGTCCACCTCCCTTCCTCCACAAAAGCTCATCGGCAGCCCAGACGGTTTTGTTTGGTCCCACAGAATCCTCAGCACCCAGAGCAGCAGCCTGGACACGATGGGGGGAGTCTGATACCATGCAGGATGCATGCACGGGGAAGGCCAGTGTGTGTGTGCACGTGCGTGTGTGCGCGTGTGCGCGTGTGTACACGAGTGTGCATGTGTGCGCGTGTATGCGTGTGTGCCCACGTGTATGCATGTGTGTACATGCATGTGTGTCCGTGTGTGCACATGCATGTGTATGCGTGTGTGCATGTGTGCGCATGCGTGCATGTGTGTGTGTGCATTCCTAGGGATGGGCGCCATGGGGAAGCGCCTGTCCTGAAAACAGCAGAAGTCTCCACCTCCCTGATTTCTCGGTCCTTAGCTCCGTGTCTTGAGGCAGCTGACCCACCTGCTGGGAAAGGAGTGAACGCAAGACGTTTCTCATTCTCTCATGGTGTTAGCTTTTTTAATGGAATGTGGGCATCCTAAGCCTACCCATTATGCCATTAAAAAAAAAAAGATTTATTTACTTTCATTTGAAAGGCACAGTTACAGAGAGAGATCTTCCACTTGCTGGTTCACTCCCCAAATGGCTGCAACAGCCAGGGCCGGACCAGGCCAAATGCAGGAGCCAGGAGCTTCTTCCAGCTTTCTCACTCGGGAAGCAGGGGCCCAAGCACTTGGGCCATCCTCCGCTGCTTCCCCAGGGGAATCCGTGGGGAGCTGGATCGGAAGCCAAGCAGCTGGGACTCGAGCCAGTCAGTACTCCCACTGCGCCGCGACACCGGCCCCTCTCCCCGGTAATTGTCAGCTCTGGGTCCCCTCCCTGTGCCTGTTCCTGAAACAGCCCTGGCTCCTCTGAGGAAGCTACAGCAGGAGAATTTCTCTCCTTTTTTTTTTAAGGATTTATTTATTTATTTGAAAGGCAGACAATTACAGAGAGGCAGAGAGCAAGAGCAAGAGAGAGAGATTTCCATCCGCTGGTTCACTCTCCAGATGGCCGCAATGGCCAGAGCTGGACCAGTCCAAAGTCAGGAGCCAGGAGCTTCTTCCAGGTCTCCCATGCCAGTGCAGGGGCCCAAGGACTTGGGCCATCTTCTACAGCTTTCCCAGGCCATAGCAGAGAGCTGGATTGGAAGTGGAGCAGCCAGACTAATGGGCGCCCATAGGGGATGCCAGTGCTTCAGGCCAGGGTTTTAACCCACTGCGCCACAGCGCCGGCCCCGAGAATTCCTCTCCTTAAGCGTGTCTTGGACCACTGGGGAGACCATGCTGGAGGTGCCAGCCGTGTTTCCTCTCCAGGCCCGGCTCCGTGTGCCTCAGTCTCCCCCTAGGCAGACAGGACTGTTCAGGACTCTGCCACTAGAGGCCTCGGGGACATGGGGATGTCTGGCGCGACAGGAGAGCTACGGCATGCTCCACTGTGGTGGACTCCAAGGCTGCAGGGTGTTTTTTGCTTGCTTTTTAAAGTTGTTTTTATTTCCTGGCCCAGAGTGAGGATCCAGGAAGGTGAGGATCGGGCCGGCCTTGAGGGTCTCCAGGGCTGCAGGATCCCTGAGGCTCACTCCCACGATTTCCCGGCCGAGATTTTGCTCCCTTGGCTGTGGGACACAGAGGTGGCCGATGCCCTTTCTCCCCCTGCTCAGGAGGCCCCCAGGAGCCAGGCTTTCTGACCCCCTGCCCCACCCCCCGCCCCTGTCTGCCCTGGACCTGCAGCCCCTGGCCTGGCCTGGCCCGGCCCTTCTGCTTCCTCGCAGAAAACCGAAAGTGAAAGTGGCCTGTGCGGAGGCCGGAGGCTGGAGGCCGGGGGAAGGACCCGCCCTGGGGTCTGCGGCCTGCCCTGTGCTGGGCAGAGCAGGCTGACTGGGCAGTGACAGGCACTGTGCCTCAGGCGTCTGTCCTGACTTAGCCTCTGCGTGGGCCAGGAGAGGGGAGGGAGAGCCCTGCAGCCAGGGCTGTGCCCTGAGGGCAGGGTCAGGAGCTGGCAGCAGGATCCGGCCTCCACTGCAGTGTCCCTGCAGGGCTCCCGGCAGGCTCAGGTCTGGGTGAGGGCAGAGGAAAGTGAAGGGAGCGAACCCCAACCTCTCCCCCTACCCTGGGCCCAGGCCCTAGGCCAGGTGCCTTATCCCCTGTGGTTGCTTCGAAATCACAAGATCGGCTTCATCCAAGCATGTGGTCAACCAGTGATTTTGGAAGCCCTTAGGTTCAGGGGACAGGGCTATGGAGACAGATCTCAACATCCCCATTCTCCTTTTCTCTCGCTCGCTCGCTCGCTCGCTCAGGCCCGCACGCCAGCAGCATGGGCGCCTGTCGGGTCTTCATCCTGGCAGGAAGCTCCACAGTACCCACAGGACCATAAGCGGCATTGGAGCAGGACAAGAAAGGCCATCTGGGCACAGTCCTAGAGGCCAACCCTTTCGGAGGTGCCTCCCATGCCAGGGAAGAGTGCTGGAGGCCAGGCAGCCACGTTCTGCCATCAGAGGTGCGTCAGGGTCCAGCTAAGCAAAGATGGGAAAAACTCACGGTTCTATTTATTTGAAAGGCAGAGTGACAGAGGAGGAGAGATATCTTCTACCTGTAGGTTCACTCCCCAAATAGCCACAACAGCCAGGCTGGACCAGGCTGCAACTGGGAACCAGGAACTCCATCTTGATCACCCACCTGGAAGGCAGGGGCCCAAGTATTGGGACCATTGTCCACCACTTTCTTGGCCACTGCATTAGCAGGGGGCTGGATTGGAAGAGGAGTAGCCAAGGCTTGAACTGAACCTGATATGGGATGCTGGCTGGCCCTACTAGAACTCTCTTAGAGAAAACAGTGAAGTTCTGGCTGCTGGATTTGGTGGAAAAAATCACGTGTTGGTGACGTTCCTGGAATCTGCTTGTCAAAGTAGCCAGCATGTCTCTTCTGGCCTTATTCAAAGGCAAGAAAAAAGATCAAGTTTACAAATTTGGATGGTAGAAACACATTAGCAATACATTTTCATATGCCAAAAAAGGATAAGTAAATTAAAAAATTTAAAAATCCGCCCTGCAAGTGGACTTTTTGGCTTAGTGGTTAAGATGCCTCCATCCCTGGCTGGCGCCGCGGCTCACTAGGCTAATCCTCTGCCTTGTGGCGCCGGCACACCGGGTTCTAGTCCTGGTCGGGGTGCTGGATTCTGTCCCGGTTGCCCCTCTTCCAGGCCAGCTCTCTGCTATGGCCAGGGAGTGCAGTGGAGGAGTGCTTGGGCCCTGCACCCCATGGGAGACCAGGATAAGTACCTGGCTCCTGCCATCGGATCAGCGCGGTGTGCTGGCCGCGGCGGTCATTGGAGGGTGAACCAACGGCAAAGGAAGACCTTTTTCTCTCTCTCTCTCACTGTCCACTCTGCCTGTCAAAAAAAAAAAAATGCCTCCATCCCACACTGGAGCTCCTGGGTTCGAGTTTCAGTTCCAGCTCCTGATCCAGCTTCCTGCTAATGCGTAGCCTGGGAGGCAGCAGGTGACGGCCCAGTACTCGGGCCCCACCACCTACATGGGAGACCTGGATGGGGTTCCTGGCAACTGGCTTTGGCTTCAGGTCAGCCTCAGTTGCTGGGGGCGTTTGGAGAGTGAACCAGTGGGTGGGAGCTCTCTGTCCTTCTGTTTCTCAAATTAATTAAAACAAACTGAGTCCCTGTCCTCGGGGAGCCGGCGTTGCAGAGGGGAGCCAGTCCGTGACTCCAGTGAGCCCTCGCACCCGTCATCTCATCCAGACGAGCTATGGTGGAAAGAGGGAGGTGGGGGTGTCTGGCGTGGGGATGGCTTTGCAGTTTTAAGTAGAAAGCCTGGGGGAAGCTGGCCAAGGAGGTGGCACTGATGGTGAGTCATTGAGTGTCTCAGTTTGCGTGAACAGCCAAGGATGCGTGCATGACTGCTATCAGTCCCGGGCAGGATGAGGAAGCTGAGGTCATAGCGAGGAGAACGGGGTGCCGAGGCCGGCATTTCGGCTGTGTTTGTGAGCACGGCACGGTGCGGAGAGGGGGAGGAGTGAAGAGGGCGTGTGGCCGGCCCGGCCGTGGTGGCCATCTGTTTTGCAAACTGAAAATCAGGACAGCCCTGAGAGGATTTTCCTGCTGCTCACAATGAGAGCGGCCGTCTGGGAGAGGCGTTTGGATGCCGGCCCGAAGGGTGGGATTTCTGAGACATTCCAGTGGCTTGCGGGGGCCCACGAGGCAGTCCAAGGGCAGGGCATTGCCATGGCAACCCCAGTCTGGCCACCAGGCCGGGAGCCTGGTGCAGGGCCATGGGACAGAGAAGCTCCCCTGGGCGTGGACCTGAGTCTAAGGGCCCAAATGGGACAGCATGAGCTTCAGAGCGGCCAACCCTGAAGGAATGGGGAGAGGAGGGAGGGCAGGGTGGGGCTGGCAGGCCCGGTTCCAGGCCCGAGGAGAGGGCCGTCTTGTTGTGTCCGGGAAGCTCCCTGGCAGGACTCTGAGGAGCAATGGGAGACAGGATCTCCGTCTTCCCCGGTAGCCGCCGGGTCGGGTCTGAGTTTGAATCTTCCTTCTGCCATTGCCCGGAGATAAATCGCACAACGGCAGGAACTTGTTTCCCCAGCTCAGAGCTGGGCTGACAGCTCCCCTGCTGGCACCCAGCTGTGGGAGCCTCTGCTCGGTGCCCTGCAGGTGTCACCAGCGAGGGCTGACTGCTCTTCCTCTCCACCCAGCGGGACGCCAGGGGCGGGCACGCAGAGGGGAGCCGGTGGAAAGGAAAGAGCTGGGCTTGGGAAGCGGATGACCCAGTCAGCCGGGGCAGGCAGTCACAGGCTCCCAGCTAGCTCTGCACGTGGGCAGGGGCTTGGTCAGCAACAGAACAATACCCTCCCCATGGGGGCAGGGCCCAAGCCCTCCCCTGCGCCTGTTCCCACCACCACCACCACCACCACCACCACCACGCAGTCCCTGTGAGCTGGACCCCAGGCCTGTCCTCCCACACGGCTTCCAGGTCTGCGGGCAGCTCCGGGGCTGCGGGTGCCCTCTGCCTGGAGGGGCTCCCAGGATGCCCCTCGGAAGGGGGGCATCTGCGCGGCTCCCATGGCTCTTGCTGGCTGACACCTCCCTTTTTGCTCAGCCGCTCGAGCCTTGTGAATGCCACTGCTGCCCTCACTGTCGCTGCTGCAAGATTGTCCTTACAGGAGGGGGAGGAGCAGCAGAAGGAACTTCCCAGGCTTTTGCATCTCCGGTCATGGCCGTGACACAGCCCAGGAGAGCTGGAATCCAGCCCAGCTTTTACCAATAATTCGCCATGTGACCTTGAGCGTGCCCTCTAGGCTCCCTCGCCTTCCTAGATCATCTCTCAAGGCTAATCATGACCTCTCACTTATTGCGTGCATCCATGGATTGTTTCTTTTGTTCATTCATTCACAGCACTCATTACTTCCTGGCATAGTCTGTTTTTTATTTGCTTGTTTATTGCCTGCCTTGTGCCATGCCAGCTCCCTGCCACCTACAAAGAGGGGCACAGGCACTCCTGTCTGGGAACAGAAGGTGGCACGCTCACAGGGAGTGAGCAAGTGACTTCAACGAAAGTGCCTTTTTCTAGAAGTGTAGACAGGTGAGGGGAACCAGCAAAAAAGGGGAAGTCCCCCAGGACTAGCAGCAGAGTGTGGTTGGGGGTGGGGGCCTGAGCAGCAAGGGGCAGGCAGCACAGGAGAGCTGTGGCCAAGCTGAGCTGCAGGCAGCCCCCAGCAGGCAGGAGCTGCAGGCCTGGGTGGAAAGAATGTAGCCTCTGCCAGCCCCGGGCTCAGCAGGGGAGAGAGGGGAAGAAATAGCCCAGTTCCTTCTCCTCCTGCCCTCCATGGCCTGCTGCCTCATTCCATTGCCTGGGTCCCTCCAGAATCAGACAGCAAGAGTGCTGGGAGGCACAGTCCTCAGAGGCCAGGCTCCTGGGGTGCAGAGAGCGGGGAGGAGGAGGGCTTGGCAGGTGAACACGACTGCTCAGCACGGCACCTGAGAAACACTTGCTGGGGCCTGGCTGGAGTACCGGATCGTGTGCACTGTAGGTGCCCTTGGGACCCTGGGGCGGGTCTATGAAACAAGGCCTCAGCGCTGCAGCCTTGGGTCAGGAGGATCCCTCTTCCCGCTGCCTGGGGACCAACCCTCCACCTCCAAGGCCGGGGCAGTGAAATGGATCCGTGATACCCACTGCAGCAGGGGACAAGGGAGTCTGTGGAAGGGAGGCGGAAGGTTTGGAGGATTCGGAGCCTCTAGGTCCTGGGGCATCTTAACCACATTGGGGCACCTGGGTTCGAGTCACAGGCATTGGCTGTGTGCTCTCGGGCCTGTTCCTAACACGTCTGATCCTCGCTGTAAAACCGGGCTGGGAATAAACAGGAGGAAGGAGGTTTGTGTTGATTCCAGAGAATCCGTGCAGAGAGCTCAGCACAGGGCCTGGGCACAAGGCAACCGCTTGCTTATTCTAATCGGAGAGGAGATGGAGGGCCACCCCTCTCCCCATTTCTCCCCCGCGGGGGATCTCCACCCCCTCTCCAGCTCCATTTAGTGCTGAGTGTTTCAGGTCATTCCACGCCTGGCCATCCGCCAGGGCTCTGACAAAGACAGCAGTCTCTGCTCATTCATCCTAATGCAAGTTCCTGCGTTTATGATAATAGGGGGAACGCATGAAAGGGCTCGCTGGCTGCGGAGGGAAATCGGCTTAGAATTGAAAATCCCAGTCCTTCCGCGGCTCGGCTCTCCCCTCCCAGGGCTTAGAAAGGAGGCGGGCTGGGAGGAGCCGAGAGGGGAGGAAGGGATGCTGGTGGGAGAGCCGGCCAAAGAGGACCAAAGGGCAGGGCCTGTCTCGCCTGCTGAACGGGTCTGCGGCGGCTGGGGAAGCCGCCAGCCGGGCTCAGGGAACGGCCTAGGCCCCTGGAGGCGGGGTGAGCGGTTTCCATGGCGACACCGGCTGGTCACTCAGCTCCGCGGGGAAGAGGGACCTGACGGTGGCCTCTGCCCGCCGCGTGCTGGGGGTCGCGCTTTGTCCTGCGGCGGAGCCCCCGGAAGCGCGCCCTGCGCCCAGCCCCGCGTGCCGTGGGGCGGCGGGCAGGGGCAGGGTCTCCGAGGCCCGTGGGCCTTCCGTGGGCAGCGGCAAGGCCGGATGTGCGCGTGTTAACGATGGCTGTGCCTGCAGAGGGGCGCGGAGGCGGCAGGCGAAGCTTCTGCCGGCATCCCACACGCAGACGGCGCGGTCAGAGCCTGGGAAGAGGTGCCAGACCCGGCTGGCGCGTGGCTGAAGGAAGGAGTTCTGAAGTAGCACGGGGGTGGGCTCCCAGGGCTTCGGCGGGGAGCAAGGAGGTGGAGGCCGTACCCCAGGGCGGAAGAGGGGGCTTTGAATGGGTCCTGGAGCCACCCTTGCTCGGTCCCTCCTCCCAGCTGCCCCCACCCGGAGCCTGTGAGGCCTGGGACCGTGGTGAGATGCCCACGTTTGATGGCTGAGTGTGTGAGGTGGGGCGAGCTGAACAAGGAGCAGATGGGTGCCCTGCCCAGAGGCCTGCACACCTCCCGGGGTGCCTGCCCCCCCACCTGCCCCCCTCCCACATCCGTACTGAGCTTGCTCACTGACATGCATGTTGTTTCTTTCAGTCATCTTAGCATTCAAGTCACTTTTCACAAATAGATTGCAGCGCTGGTTTTATTTTTTAAAGATTAGTTTTCTTCATTTGAAAGGCAGTGTGCCAAAGAGAGAAAGAGAGAGAGAGAGAGAGAGAGAGATCCCACACTTCCATCTGCTGGATCACTCCCCTAATGGTTGCAAAAACCAGGACTGGGCCAGGCCAAAGTCAGGAGCCTGGAACTCCATCTGGGTCTCACAGGTGGGTGCCGGGGCCCTAGCACTCGGGCCATCGTGGCTGCTTTCCCAGGCGCATTAGCACGGAGCTGGGTAGGAAGCAGAGCAGCCGAGACTGGAAGTGGTGTTCAAATAGCGGATGTTGGTGTTGCACAGGGCAACTTCGCCCCTGCGCCACCATGCCAGCCCCTGCTGTTTCGTTTTTACTCACCGCAGAGTGCCTTTTACAAGCCATGTGACAGTGGAGGCCGTTCTGTCTACTTGTGCGTGCCTGGTTTGCAGCTATCCTGTGCTGCAGGTGCGCAGGTCCAGCAGGTGGGTAATTAACACAGAGAACCCATTAGTGCTGACCTCATACACCACTGAAGGAATCTGCATTCTCCCTTTAAGGGACAAGCCCAGTGGGGCTGCCAGGGATGGTCGGGGGCGCTCAGTGCACACAAGACTTTAAAGAGACACAGCTACCTGTGTTGCCGTTATGGGGAATCGGTTGGCCAAAGGCACCCTTATTGAAACCCTGCCACCGGTGACATCTTACTGCCTGGTGATAAAATGGGCTGGGAGGCAGGTGCTCTGGCCTATCCAGCCCTGCCCTGCCTTCCTTAGCCAAGGGCTCCGCTGACTTCCTTTCCCAGCTGCCATCTCACCCAAACTCTACTCCCAGAACCCAGCTCTGGTGTTGCAGCTTCCCGACCAGTGGCTGCCCTGGGTTTCTTGTTTACTTGGTTCTAATTGAATGTTTCTTGCATTAACGTCAGGTTGCTGAAGGAGGGACTTGATTGGTGTTTTCCCTCGAACGGTTTATGGCCATCAGGAAGCACTTGGGTTTTGCTTAAGGAATTTATAAGAGAGTGAGGGAGCGGATAAACCAGAAGCGGCCGGACTTCCTTAAATGCATCCCTCCTCTGAGGAGGCACAGGGGAGGGGAGGAGGGGTGGGAGGGTTGGGGAGTGGAGAGGTGGGGGGGCTCAGGCAGTCTTCATGCCCATCTCATTGTTTCCCAGGAGGGCTGACTTCTAACCCCCCTGCAGCCTGCACAGGGCTAGGGTGTTGTTTATCATTGCAAAAATACTCCTGAGTGTCTCCGGGTGCCAAGCCCTATGTGGAATGCAGCAGGTGGAGCAGTGCGTGGGAGAGCCAGGGTCTCCATTCTCAGGTGGGTACACCAGTGCAGCAGACAGTGAGTGAACATGCTGCAATGATACAAATGAGACAAGGCCCCCAACAGAGAACGGGAAAAAAAAAAAAAGAATCTGACATGGATGAGACACTAGGGCACGTGTGTCTGAGAAGGTGGCCTTGCAGCTGAGGGCTGAGGGTGGAGAGGGAGCCAGGCAGGTGAGTAGCTCATGCAAGGGCCTTTCAGGGAGCAAGGGCACGCGCGAAAGCCCTGGGGAAATCCAGGGTCCTGCAGGAGGCAGGGTGCGGAGGGCCTGGTAGCCCGTGGTGAGGACTAGCGTTCTTTTGTTTTGTTTTAAAGATTTTATTTATTTGAAAGGCAGAGTAACAAAGAGAGAGAGAGAGAGAGGAAGATCTTCCATCCACTGGTTCACTTCCCAGATGGCCAGGAGCCTGGAATTCTATGGGGTTTCCCATGTGGATGGCAAGGGCCATCTTCTGCTGCTGTCACAGGCTCTTAGCAAGGATACGGGCGCAGGCGTCCCAGATGCTGCTGCAGTGTGGGCCCCAGGGGTTTGGTTTCCCTCTGAAGTGCATTGCACCAGCCACTGTGAGGTTTGCCCGGGGAGACCGGCGTGGACTGAGGGTGCTCTGACTTCTGGGTGGATGGGGCAGGGAACAGGTGCTTCTCTGGACTGAGGGGGCAGCCGGGAGGTGAGAAGCGGTGGGGATTCAGACAGCTTAGAGTGGTGGAGAAAGGCGGGTAGGGTGAGGTCTGGATGAGTCTCGGAACTCCCAGTCTCTGGCTCGAGGCTCCCGGCCAGCCTGGTAAACCAAGGTCCCGCGCTTGCTGGGCCTGGAGCCATCCCCGGTAGGTGTGTGTAAGGGCTGGGCACTGAAAGCTTCCAGTCCTGCTACCTGAGGCGTCCCGTGAGAATGGCGCCTTAACTGTGTGTGTCTGGACTAGAGCCTGGGGAGCGGCCTCAGCCCGGGCAGCGGCGTGGTCCTGAATCCTCTCGTTCCTTGGCAAGCCTGCGGGGCCTTTTCTGCAGAGAGGGGAGCAGAAGCAGACAGCGAGAGGCGCAGCTCCAGCCCGCAGGGAGAGCTTGCCAGTGACCAGAGCTTTCTCACGGGGATGAGCAGGTGCCGGGGCGCCCTGGCGGGGACGCTGAGCTCTCTCTGTGTGACCGCGCCCTTTTCTTCTTGCTTCTCTGCATCTCAGGAGGACAGCAGCTGCCTCCCATGCCCTGCACCCAAACCCCTCTGCTGGCTGGAGACAGTAGCTAAGTCCCATCTAAGCCTTCCCTGCTTGCTCCGGGTTTAGCAGTCTGGATGCTTGCTTTGCCGCCTGTGGCCAGGGGAAGCGCAAACCTCGGCGTGGGTGGAGCCGTGGGGATCAGGCTGATGCTGTGCGGCCTGGCTGAGGCCTCTTGGCTTTTCAGGAAAGGGTGTCCTGCTGTCTCCCGGCCTCCTGGAGCTGGGCATGGTCCCTCGGAGCTTCTGTGCTCCCTGGCTGGACTCCTGCAGGGAGACCCGAGGGTGTCGTGGGTGAGGAGCACCTGTCTCCGCAGCCCTGTCCCACAAGATGGGCAGGACTCTGCCTCTGCTGTCCTCGCAGAAAGGGGCCTGCCGGCGGCACAGGCTGTCCAGTCCCAACCGTGGAGGTGGGTCCGTGGACGCAGCCGCAGGGGAGAGCTGGCGTCCAGTGGGAATCTCTGAGGGAGAACCAGGGCCCGGGGACACCCCCTCCCACCTGGGCTGCCTCTTATGACATTGGTTCTTTCTTTGCATTTCAGAGCCTCTGTTTCCATCTCTAGAAGGTGGGAACGTGACAACACATCCCTTCCATGAGAACAGAGTAACACCACGGACAGACAGCCCAGCAGGGTTCTGGCACACAAGGGGCGCTTGAAGCAGTTTTGTCCTGGGGGCCGGCCTGGTGGAGCAGCGGCTCAAGCGGCCGCTGGAGACACCAGCATCCAATTGGGCCTTGCCGGTTCCCGTCCTGGCTGCTCTGCTTCCAATCCGGCTCCCTGCTAATGCGCCTCTGCCACCTACGTGGGTGACCCTGATGGGGCTGCAGGCCCCTGGCTTCGCCGGCCCAGCCGCAGCTGTTGCAGTATTTGGGGCGTGAACCAGCGGATGGAAGCTCTCGTGTGCCCTCTCTCTCCATCACTCTTTCGAATAAATAAAAGAAATCTTCAAAAAGGAGCGAGCGTCCGTCTCCCCCTGGATTTTTTTCTTTCCCGCACACTCTCTCTCCCTTGCGTCCTTAGGGGGACAGCTGCTTCCCTCTGGCCAGCGGGCACATTTCTAGGAAGATCAAGGCACTTCCCATCTGCCGGCCCCCCTCCCAGCTTTGGCTGATTCTGCAAAGCTGTGTTGAAAAAAAAAAAAAAAAAAAAAAAAAAAACAGTGACAGAGAAGGCAGGAGGGAGGGTGGGTGAGCTGAGGGCCCTTGGGGAGGCCCAGACCTTCCAGGGGGTGCCTCACCATGGCGGGGAGGGCCTCGCGGTGGTGGGCTTCTCACTTCCGCTGCCTGGGGAAGGGGTCATGGCCACGGGGACGCAGCACAGTGCAGAGTGCAGACAGCTGAGCTGGCCGGCTGGGGCCAGGTTGGGGAGGGAGTGGGCGCGTGGGGCCGCCTGCTCCCCCAGCAGCCGTCCGGGTTATTTTTAGCTCTGGAATGCTCCTCCCAAGCCCCCTCTGCTTCTGTTTATCTTGCTTTTGAGGCCTGGTGCCTCAGCGACAGTACAGTGTCAGGACACTGGGGCTTCTGGGAAGAATGGAAGAAGCTGGCTGGGGCGGGGCTGGGGGCTGCTCCCTCCCACTTCCCCACCCCCAGCCCCCGCAGGCTGCCCCCTTCCTTGGGCTGGGAGAATGGGAGAAACTGAGGCCTCGGCAGGTGTCCTGCCTTGTCTGCACCACCACAATCCCCAGCCCGGGTCCTGGGGGCCCTGTCCCCTCACTTTGCTTTCTGGGACCCTGGGAGAGGGTGGGGTGGGCAGGGCCAGTCTTCTAAGCAATCCACGCCCCTTTGGTCTGCACACCCAGGGCTGGGGCCCTTGTAGGAACCTGGATGTGAAGAAACAGCCAACTGGGACGCAGCGCTTTCCTGCGTGTGTCTTGGGAGGTAGTCTGTGCCCCAAGCCTCAGGAGGAGCCCTGTGACACGGGGATCGTGGCTCCCTGTCCAGGAGTCACCGCTGACGCATGGAAAGATGCCGGCGGCTGCTGCCCGGAGGGTCAGTGCATCCCGCAGGGTGCCTCTGGGTACTGGTGGCCCTTCCCGGGTTGGCCCTGGTTCCTGTTCTGGGCTCTGGTTGCAGGAGACTCCCTCACCAGATCCTCTCCTTCCAGGACACTGCCTGTTCCACCCCCCCCACACCTGTCACAGCCCCCAGACCTCACCTCCTAAGGGGGGAGGGTGGGACCCTGGGGAATGTGCAGTCTCCTGCTGTCTTTCCATCATCCCTGATCTGGAGCTGGAGCGAGGGCCAGAGGCTTGGGCAGCCGGGACTCAGCCTCGGTCACCTGAATGATCAATGACCACTGCTGTGGTCAGTGAGGCCGCGCTCCAGGCCCGCACATGTGCACGCGCAGGTGGGCCTGCCCAGGCCACCTGGGGTCGAGGCAGGGGCTGGGGAAAGCCATGTGGGGCAGCCACAGCCAGGGCCACTGGACAAACACCACGGAGAGGTGAGAGGCAGCGGCCGCCGGCGCTGACCTTTAGCACAGGAGACAGAAATAGCCCGCGGGAGACAGAATCCAGTGTGGGGGAGCCATCAGGCCAGCAGGGGCAGGCCCAGGCCGGGGGGGGGGGAAGGGGGGACAGGCACGCCCCTCCCCGACCCCTCCCTCATTTCCATCATCTCACAGATGAGAGGCTCGGAGAGGTACAGCCTGGCTACTACCAGGCAAGGTGGAACTGGGCCAGCTTCAGCTGACAGCCCTGCCCTGCTAAGTCACACTGGTCATCCTTGTCCTGGCCGGGACTTGTTTATCAGATGACCCCAGGGCTGACCCCAGGGCTCATCCTGGCAGCCTGGGCCTCCTCTCCCTCCCTCCTTTGCTCACAGCACTTCTCCCCCCCTGACCTTGCCTAAATCAGGCTGGGCCAGGTGTTCACCCTGGAGACCCTCCCCTGCTGCAGGCGGCAGTGACAAGGACGAGCCTGGGGACAGGCGCTAGCAGGTCAGATCTGGGAGGGTGAGAAGAGCAGGCTCAAAATAACCCGCTGCCCGCCTGCCGGCTCCCAGGCTCCCAGCCCGCAGCGCCCAGCTGTTTCTGCTCTTCTGGAGCCTGAAGCTGGTTGCCTGGATACCAGTGCGGCTGGCTGGGGCCTGGTCCATGGGGGCAGGCGGAGCTCCAGCTGGGTGTGGCACCACAGGCCCCTGCACCGGCCCCAGGGAAGGTGGCCCGGGGAATGGAGGGGGTGGTGTGGGGGGGGGCCCATCCATGGAAGACCCCTGTGCCGGTGGTCATCTCACAGGGGGCGCTTTGCAGCCAGAGCATCGGAGCCCTCCTGTTTGCTGCTCTGTGGCCTCGGTCACTTTCAGGTGTGGGAGCTTCCGTGTGTCTGTGCAGAGGGGATGACCACGCCCACCTCCCAGAGCTGCTTAAAGCGGGGACGTGATGACTAGGTCACCACACAGAGTACAGCCTCCATGATGATAAGCCCCCTACCCCAGCATGGTTGGACCCATCTGGAACCTCTGTGTATTCAATGGGGAAGCTGTGCAAAGGCACTGAGGCAGGCAGCTGGGGAGCCTCAGAGGGGGTGGCACGCTTCCTGTTTCCTTGCTCCAGAGAGGGGCCTGTGACACCCGCCTGGGGCCCCCAGGGCTTAGCAGGGAGCTGGCAGTGGGAGCAGGCCTGGGACAGGTTGGGGAGATGTGAGAGGGAGCAGGCTGCATTCCAGCTGTGAAAGCAAAGCACAGCTGGCGTCCATCCGGTGCCGATGTTCCAGCCCACCATCCTTCCTGGACTCCAGGTGGAGGACTGGGCAGCCCTGAGGTGGGGCTGCAGGGGAGCAGGCCCGGGGAGGAGCGTGACCATGACCATGAGGGCCTGCTCTTCTGGCCTGCTCAAGCCTGGGCCCCGAGCCCCTCCTCACGGGAGAACGCAGGGCTGTGGGAGGGGCTGCACAGGGCGGAGCAGGACACATCCGGGTCCCCTGGCGGGGAAGGCTCTCTCCAAGTTCGTCTCTCAGCTTCCCAGAAATCCACTTTTTGTTTCTTTTTAAGATTTATTGATTTATTTGAAAGAGTTACAGACACACACACACACACACACACACACAGAGATTTTGATTCCCCAGATGGCCGCAACAGCCAGGGCTGGGCCAGGTCAAAGCCAGGAGCCAGAAGCTTCATCCAGGTCTTCCCACAGGTGCCAGGGTCCAAGCACTGGAGCCATCGGTGCTGCCCCCACGGTGCACATGAGCAGGAAGCTGGGATCTGAAGTGGAGCGGGGACTTGAACCCAGTCACTCCGACATGGACCTGGACGCCCCAAGCAGCATCCTCACTGGGGTGCCAAGGCCAGCCCTGCAGCGAAGCTCGCCCAGCTCAGATCTGAATGTGAGCAGACCGTGGATAATGCTACTGTGTTGTCTCGGGAGAGTAGCAAACCACTTCTAATGTATTGACCTCTGCTTTTGGACCTCGTGGTCACATCGTGATTTGAGAAAAGGGGCCATGGAGGGGGCGGGGCGCCCAGGGATCCTTTGAGAACACAGGCCCATGAGGTGGGTGCGGTGGAGGCCAGGGCCTGCAGAGGGCGCTAGAGAGAAGCTTCCAGAAGGTAAGCGTGGCCACCCTCTGAGCGGGTTCCGGGGGGCCGGGGCGGGGGGGGGGGGCAGCGGGCAGAGGGGTGTGCAAGGAGACTGCCGGGGCTCTGATGTGGGCCGGGGTGCCTTTGGCCTGGAGATCTGGGGGAGAAGCCCTGAGGCTTTGGAGCTGGGCGTGGTGGGGAAGAGGCCACGCTGCTGCGAGCCCAGTAAGACTGGGCTTAAGGACTGCAGCTGGCCTGTGTGGCTGAGAGATGCCCCATCAGTGTGACGGTGCTTCAGACAGCCCGTGGGGACAGCGTTAAGATACCTTTATCTTGGTGCAGAACGACTTTGAAACCCATGCCTAAGAGACTGTCTCAGAAAGTTCATGGGAAAAGTCTGTGTTCAAAAACCAAGCACGGGTTTTGAAAATTTTTGGTACCAAAATACAACTATCTTTCTTTAAAAAAAAAAAAATTTTCATTTTCATGGGAAAGGCAGAGTGAGCGTGCATGGAGAGATCTTCCAGCCGTTGGTTCACTCCCCCAGATGCCCACATAGCCAAGGTTGGGCCAAGCTGAAGCCAGGAGCCTGGAGCTCCATCCAGGTCTTCCACATTGGAGGAACCATCGCCTGCTGCCTCCCGGAGCACACATTAGCGGGAAGCTGGATCAGAAGCACGAGCGCCAGTATTCACACCAGGCGCTTGGATACGGGATGTCCCGGGCAGCATCTTCACTACTGCACCAAACACCTGCCCCTGCCCTTAATTCCAGTTTTTCCGTGAAATTCTTGGAGCGCCCTTGTGCAGACAGGCTTGGCATCTTAGCCCACAGGAAAACAAGGGCCACGTGAGAAGTGTGCATTACATTACAGTCCAAGCCCTTGGGCTATGGGTAATTCTGTCACCCAGGACTGCCTTCCTGCCAGGAGGGCACTAGTGCCTCTTGGTCTTAGCCCCGAGACCTCTGAAGGGCATCCGAAGGCCTTTCTTCTTCTGATCTGGAGGAGCCTTTCCCACTGGCGATGCCCTAAAGGAGCAGCTTCCCCTCCCACCTCTGCCAGCAGGGCAGCCGGTGCCCCACGGCAAGCCCTGGGGGTGCCCTGAGCTGTTGCTCTCTGGAGAGGGGTGGAGCAGGAGCAGGAGCTCCCAGGAGGCCTACAGATCTTGCTCCCTGCTGCCTGCCAGCTGGGGGCTGCTCCCCTGCTCCCGCCTAAATGCACAACACTGTACTGCAGAGGGGTTTCTGCAAATGCATCCCCAAATGACAGGTGCATGCAAATAAATGCAATTACAGAAGTCGAAGAGCAGCCCAGGAGAGGGCCAGCTCTGGGCAGCCTCGGCGAGGGGAGAAAGGAAAGCAGCCGAGGCTGGGGCTGAGGGAGAGAGGCAGCAGTTTGCAGAGGCCCAGGAGGCAGGAGAGGCTGCAGGCCGAGAGC